CAGCATGAAAAATTCATTACCGCTTAACATTATTTACACGTAAGGTGTTCCAGATTTTAACATTCAAACTTTAGTTGATATATTTTGCGGGATTAAATAATAAGAAATGTTATATAAACATAGGGAGTTTGAAGGTATATTAAAAAATTATGTCAAAAATGCAGAACACGGGAGAAATAATAATTAAATAATCGTAGTTACTGCAATACAATGATGAAATAGATCAGTAATAGTTGCATTTGGTTTATTTATGTAATTATTATCTAACGTTGGTACTTCCAGAAGATTGATTGATACCTTCATCTTTATTTGAAACATCCAGTATCTTTGATGAGCAATTTTGTCGCTGTATAACACCACACAGTTCACTTCCTTTATGAAATAAGTCAAAGAATTCTCATTAATAATCGTACGTGACGATTTATAAACATTTTATAATCCAATGTTTATTTATTACAGGATTTGCGTCAATACTTCCTTATAGTAGCTCAGACATTCTTATTGTAGAAGCCGAAAATGAAAGGCATATTTGCATATTCTCGATTCGTAAAGATTTGCAACATTTCGATATGAAGTCCAATAACTTAATAATATTATTGGCTAAAATTACTTTTGAAATCTTTGACAATCTCAGATAACAAAGACAACTGTAGATAGGTAAATAAATAAATCAGAAATTTCAGGTGTATTGAAAGCATCGAGTTTATATAAGTAAAGAAGAATTTCCTATTCACTGCTCAGGTATAAGCTAAGATGATTCACAATTCATGTGTACAGTCATGAATATAAGTTTATGTGAAGTTTAAGTAAGATTGTAGTTTATAAGAATTAAACATGTATTTAAAGAATTGGACTGTTCACACGTCATAACGTTCATGACAGTAATCATAAATCATTGATCAGCTTATAAATAAATGTTAAAAAATTGATTTTTATTCGTAACAAGAATATTTTTGGTTTCTTTACACATTTTAAATAGTTATATTTGTCAGATCTTATCATAATTTTAACTGTGAGTATTTTCTTGGTAAAAATTCCACACATCGCTGGAAGGGATAGAAATGATGTAATTGGAACGCACATTTCACGTACCATTTATAAGTGCCTTGAATTGCCCGAGAAATGAAATTTTTCCAAGATCAAGCCGTTGAGAAAGTTTCACGTTTGTTTGCGTACTGTTACCCGAGTAGCTCAGATACAGTATCTCGAATACCTTGCACTTGAATTACATTTATAAAGTTATTTTATAAATGAAAGTTTATGAAATACACGTCATTCGGTATAGTACGTGACATTCTACTAGTTGTACATCACGAAATAAAAATTTCCCATAAAACGGTCAATTGTAACACGCGTTTACTGTTTTTTATAAATTAATGGCCCTAAGAAAATCTCATAGCTGGCAACGAAAAAAATCGCATAAAGTAAAAAGTCTACATGCATCACCTTTTCTCTCTTACGAGTAATTTTCTTGTCATGTAGTATTTTAAAATTTGATTGCTGAGTGCTGTACTTTTCCAAGAATATTTTAGTACAATATTATGCTATATACGTACATTAAGCATTTGAAAACAATACTACTAAGATAAAAACTATTATTACGTAATAACGATAGAGAGCAGTTCATAGTTCGTTTTGTTCCAAAATACCGACCATTAGTATGAATCAACGTGAGTAATGAATATGACCATGAAATTTTAATTATAACAATATTCAATCCTATTTTAGGGATGTTTCGTATACTGCACTGTTAAAGAGACCTTCCTGTTGTCTGAGAACAGCGAGAGACCGTGGACCAGATTTTTGCTTGGTATTCGATGAATTAATAGTTATCTGCGCGTATTAACTGGTTACTCGGGAAGTCAAGGATCAGTTGACGTTCGATCATCGAGCGGATCGGATCGTAGTTTTCTGTCACGCGTCTTTTATATTTATTATCAGATATCTCTATCTTTTTTTGTTTTTTTATTTATTAATAACCGTGATTACCTTCTCGGTGTCTTTTCGTACGTATATCTTTAATAAAGAATAGTGGTGTTTAAAATAGTGACGTTTTGCAGAAAGAAAACTAAATAAAAATTATTAATAAAGTAATAAAATTAATAGATACTTAAGACGATAATTAAAATGAATTACCTCCAAGATACGAACTGTAGTGTAAAAGGAAATGCGATTCAAAATGTGTACATCGGTGTCTTGATTAATATTATCTACATTAACATTGAATTAATTAAAAACAAGTATAAAGTGACGTAATGTGGATTTAAGATAAATCTATATGTTCATTTTGATTAATTTTTGGATATCAAAATTGTATTATCTGATTATTAAAGTTTCTTTTATCACATAACGAAATTTTATTTTTTCAGAGTTGGTACATAACGCGCACGTACTATAGTGTATGGGATTGGTCCCCTCATTTCTTATTAACATCGAGTTGCAAATATTTTATAATCTAACAATATTAATAATTTGATCGTGAAACCACAGTCTGGTTTATCAAACCATCAATTATATTTTATTTCATTATCGTTTGAAGTAACCGGAAATGAATAATTTAATCTAGGTTAAAGTCACAAAAGTACGTTATTACCTTAAATTGTTCATAACGTGTTACTTAAAGAGCATTAACTACGTCATGCAACCTTAAATTTCAATTGAATAGAACCTTTGATTTTCTTTAAAAGGCATATTTAATCAAGATAATAGGGACAAAATGTCATGGCTGAAATGAATTACTTTTGCAGATATCGTTTTTTAAAATAATGTATTCAACATGCAATTAATATTCAACTTAAATTTCGTATCGGACATGTAATTATGTAAAAATGATTATTTTTTTGGCAATTAATGATATTGATATTTTATTATTGTATTAGTAGCATACATATAGAGTATTATGTATATAGCATTATTGGAAGTAAAATTCCAGAATTCCAATAAATGATCATTTATTTTAAGACCATTTTTATACGACGTTTTTCCATGAAATTTATACCAGTATACTGACACTTCGTCTTTCTGACCATAAATATCTTACAACGAACTATACACATACATCCGTGTAATCATTTTACTTACCAGTCGTCAGCTTTATTAGGACAATAAATCTTTGTTGATTCATTGTTATTGCAGGAAATTCGTTTTCGTAAGAATAATGTAAAGTTGCAATGGACCCTTTGCTTTATGAGATTTAATAGCGGAAGTAATTATCACTGCGTTCTGAACAATCTTACGAAATCGATGTAACTTGGTCGATTTATAATAACAAATAAATGCCTTTGATAGAGACCTATAAATAACACATCAATTACGACTTGTGAAATAGAAATGACATATCTTGTTTTCGCTTTAAATTCATTAAACTTTCCGTATGTTCATCTTATCGATTCTCATTCTACCGAAGCTGTTATTACCGACTAACAGGTACACATATCGATCACGAGATGCTGATGATTATTTGAAAATAGCAAAAAATGTGGCTGAAGGATGTGAATGACGGCGCCTTACCGGCTGCGAATTTCATGAACTCGCGATGCTGCGTCCAAAACGAGTAAGTTTCTCGTTTTTTCTCGTGTTAGAAATTCATCCTTATCCGGATCAATCGATAAGTTATCCTATATATTATTGACATAAAAGAAGTAATGACAAATGTGTATGATTTACGAGTAAATATTGGCTATTGTTAATATACATTAGTGACTATTTTATTCACTTTTGACATAAAACTCACCCGAGAATTTAGGATATCCAGTGTTCTCGACAATCTTCAAAATTTCATTCCATCAAATGAGCTTTTCTAATCGAAAGTAAAACCAGTTATACTTCGAGAATAAATATCGATGTCTGTAGGTATTGACTGCGATAGTCAATCAATTCAGGTCGGTTTGATAATACTGTCACGCATCTCTTGCTGTTAAAGAGATAGTATATAATAAAATACGATGCAATTAATAATAATTTACTTATTTTGTATAAATTATGTGAAATATGTTGATGCAAATACAAATGGCGTTACTTCGTGATCTTGTATTGTCACATTAATATATTATCGTTCATTTTAATTAAGAGTGCACAGTTGTTCAAGCTATGAATTCGATATAAATCGATTCGATTATCTATCTGATAACATCTATCTTCTCATGGGTGGAACTAATATGTATAATAAACATTTTCTTGTTTTATTTATTCAATGCTGTGTTTCTTATTTTTCTTTTGCTCATATTATCTTTTTTTTGCAATCTTGAAATAAACTTTAAAGTACAATTTTTATTAAAAATTCTATATATAAATTTTCAATTACCATAAATTTATATTTTTAGACATTAAATATACCTTATAATTTTAAATAAATAAATATATGCGAAATTGACTAATATCGAAAAACGTAAAATTAATATAACGGTAATAACAATTGAAAGAAACTATTTATAGCCTTACTTTTTCAAGTTATACGTGTATATATATATATATACAGGTATAACTTGAAAAAGTATATATATATATTTCATATCTCGCATTTCTTTAAGTGTATGAAATTGATTTCATTGAAAACATTACATTACGAAAACTTGTATTTAAAGAAAAATGAATGGTTCCAAAGATAATACAGAACTAGTGAGAAAGATTAGTGATTCTGATATAATGAGACTGCCACGCATATCATTAATGCAAGCAGAAAATTTAAAACGAATATCATCAGAAATGTTTATTAGAGCTCGAAAAATTGCTGTAAATAGGTTTGTCATAATCGTAAATAACATAACAAAGTCTATTTTTAAAAACTCCAATTTCTTTAAATAAATCTTCTAAAAGGGGGTGGGGGGCTTTATTTTTCTAAGCTCTGATATATGATTGTTATAATTGACCTCTAACACTCTAATTACAAATACATTTTTCGTGTCTTTAAGAATGGAATGCTTTAATTCATTAAATGTGACTGTGAAAAAATAGAGAAATACATGATTATAATTTATTATTATTATTCACTTTTGTTGCAGAATTTTTGTAAACCGTAGCCTTCATTTAGAAAATATCAAATTCTATGGATTTGACATGGATTATACATTGGCTGGTAAATAATATTTACCTCGAAATTTTTTTATAATTTAATTCAGAAAATGTTATTTATATTGGAATATTATTTGAAATTCTTTAGAATACAAATCACCACAATACGAGCAATTGGGTTTTACACTGTTAAAAGATCGTCTAGTATCACTAGGATACCCACATGAAATTAAAGCATTCGAATATGATCCTAGTTTCCCAGTGCGAGGATTATGGTTCGACACGCTTTATGGAAATCTCCTTAAGGTAGACGCCTATGGGAATATCCTAGTTTGCGTTCACGGATTCGAATTTTTGAAACAGTAAGACATTTTATATAATTTTTTTATCTATAATTTTAGGACATAGATGTACATTATTTAATATATTTTTCTCTATGTTTCAGTTCACAAGTATACGAGCTTTATCCAAATAAATTTTTACAATTAGATGAATGCAGGGTATACGTGCTCAATACATTGTTCAATCTTCCTGAAACATATTTAATAGCCTGTTTGATAAACTTTTTTACGAATTCACCGCAATACACGCGAGAAAAAACAGGAGTGAAAGAAGGAGAGCTCACAATGAGTTTCAAAAGCATCTTTCAAGATGTACGAAATGCTGTAGACTGGATACACCTTCATGGTGATTTAAAAACAAAAACTATTGAAAATTTGGATGAATACGTAAAGAAGGACAAGAGGTTGCCCATGTTTCTTAATAGGATTAGAGAAAGTGGGGCGAAAGTATTTCTTTTAACAAATAGTGATTACGTTTTTACTGATAAAATTATGACTTATCTTTTCGATTTTCCACATGGTGCAAAGGTACATATTTTAGTTCATAATTATTATACAAAAAATCTGTTTTTTTCATAGACATAAGTTGTATTAAAAAATCAATTGCTTTAAAGCCTGATGAACCACATAGAAATTGGAAAACATATTTTGATACTATCGTAGTTGATGCTAGAAAACCATTATTTTTCGGTGAAGGAACAATTTTACGGCAAGTAGATACTAAAACTGGAGCATTGAAACTTGGTACACATAAAGGCCCACTTCATACAGGTAAATTACTAATTTTAATATATTAAAAATTAATAGTCTAATCCAATATAATTAAATAACATATTATAACAAAATGTTTCATGTAAATTAGGAGAAGTTTACTCAGGAGGATCGTGTGACGTATTCACTGAATTGATAGGTGCAAAAGGAAAAGATGTATTATATGTCGGTGACCATATTTTCGGTGATATTTTAAAAAGTAAAAAGATCAGAGGGTGGAGAACATTTTTAATAGTACCTGAATTGGTGCAAGAGCTTCACGTTTGGACCGACAAATGTCAATTATTTGCTGAGTTACAGAACTTAGACGTTATGCTAGGAGAAATGTACAAGTAAGAAAAAATAATCATTAAACATTAATAGCAGATTTCATAAATAATTCTTTATATTTTTCCTTATAGAAATTTAGATAGCAGCACAAAAGAAAAACCTGATATTTCCAAACTACGTGCATCTATAAGAGACGTTACGCACAAAATGGATTTATCTTATGGAATGATGGGTTCATTATTCCGTAGCGGGAGTAGGCAAACTTTTTTCAGTAGTCAAGTAGTAAGGTATGCTGATCTTTACGCGGCAACTTTTTTAAACCTCATTTATTATCCATTCTCGTACATGTTCCGAGCTCCTGCTATGTTGGTAAGTTAATTAAAGTTATTTTTTTACGTTTCATAAATTTTATTATTTTAATTTAATGAGATGATTTTTATTGTATTTCATTAAGATGCCTCACGAGAGTACAGTAGCTCATGAACAACGATTTGTTATGGAAACACCAATGATTAGTCGATCTCGGACTTTCAAACTTACAGATGAAGAAGAAGAACAGAATATACCTACAGTATGTATTTTTGTATTTTATGTAGTAAAATTTTATGTTTGTATTTTATGTAATATTATCTATAAATACAATACTTAACTTAAACTTTTAATATTACCAATGATTAGAAAACCTTGTTCGTGGAGTGTCCTAATAATCAAATACCACATGCAAGGCCTGAAACTCCGCGTAATGTAACGCATACACACGATGAAGATTGTAGCGATGAAGATAGCGACTCTCAGAAACAAGCAAACCATGTAAGATCGTGTACAAGGAATTCCAATTGCAAATGAATTATTTTCATTGCCATTTCTTTTGGTTACATTTTGTTCTTGTATTACTTCTTTTTGTTTTTTTGAACTATTTACTGATATTACGATAGGATTTAATACAATCCTACTACGTTTATATTTATGCTTAAAGATTTTAATCAAATCGTAAAATTATATCTTTCTATTATATTTCATTCCTTTGTTTTGTGTGACAAAAATTATCATAAGTATATTACGTTTTCATCACATTGCATGAAACATTAATGAATTTTTCAATATTTCTTAACGGATATGGGTGTTGTGTCAAAATTCACGCAAGATTTGAATTTTACGCTATTTGTGCGATAAAGTATTGCTATCGAAAAAAAAGGACAGCGTGACAGTTCAGGGTAATTAAAAATGGAGCACTGCGCGAAAGAACAACGCGTCTTTATAGTTCAACAATATTTTAAAAATATCGAAGGTTTGACAGTTGAAATTCGCAATTTTCGTACAAAATATGGTTGGAATAGTGATTTAACTTCATCAGTTGTGAAGAGATTAATTAAAAAATTCAGGAAGATTAGATCAATTAGTGATCTTGAGTCCAGGACATCAATTCGGCACCGTGGTTAAGAATTGGACATTTCGAGAAGTAATCTACAACGTATTCTCACAAAAGATTTGCATCTTCACATGTACAAAGTTCAATTGACTGAAGAACTAAAGTCTACTGACCACGCACAGCGAAGAGAGTTCGTTGAATGAATTATGAAACAATAGCAAGTGGATGCTGATTTTTCGAACAAAATCATCTTCGGCGATGAGGCTCATTTTCATTTTGATGGCTTCGTTAATTGTCAAAATTGTCACATTTAGGATTCAAAAAATCCACGAATGATTGCTGAGAAACAAATTCATCCACAACATGTCACTGTTTGGTACGGATTTTAGGCTGGAGTCATCATCGGACCATTCTTCTTCGAAAATGCGGCTGATCAGTTAATAACAGTTAATGGTGCTTGCTATTGTGATATAATAATCCAGTTTTTTGTGCCTAAATTATAAGGTATGGATGTGGACGACATGCGGTTTCAACAAGATAATGCTACATGCTATACAGCCCGTGAAACGATTCAATTACTGATCATTTGCTGATCGTGTACTTTCTCGTTTTGGTGATCAGAATTGGCCGCCCGGATCATGCGATTTCACACCGTTGGACTTTTTTCTTCGGAGTTTTTTGAAATCTAAGGTTTATGCCAATAAGCCCACAACCACTTACGCCTTAAAGGAAGAAATTGAGCCATATTTATACAAAACGGTCATGGAAAATTTCAACAAGAGTGCGTATGTGCGCAAAGTGCAAGCCATTTACCCGATATGCTATTCCATACATTACCCTATACTGTATATTTTATGAATCAATAAAAAATGTACAATTTTTAATTAAAAACCTGATTTTTATCAAAATTACTTCTTGCGTGAATTTTGGGACATTCAATATAATGCATGAAAACTGAATTTATTGTCATATAAAAAATGATTCAGAAGATTACAAAATACTATTATTATAAATAACAGTGTAAATTAGTTTATATATTTATATTTCTTTATTGACTTAGTTCAACATTTATTTAAGTGTAAAAGATAGGATATCTATCTATCCATAAAAATATCAAAACAATTCATTTAAATAATTCCCTTGTTTTTGGTCATAATAAAAATTCCTTTAAAGCAAATTTGTTTCGATCCTTTATAAAAGGTTATGACCTGATGTTAATAATTTTTTTAGAAGTAAAAATATATGGGGAATATAAAGATTAATCTTGTGTTTTTAAATTGAATGATATTTTTTTATCTTCTTTCTCACAGAATATTTTAAGACTCTATACAGTACTGTATATTCTCTATTAGAATTTACTCTTAAATAATTTTCAACCATAAAATATTGTATTCATATCAATATACTTTGTTATAAGAAAAATAAAAATGTATAATTACATTGAAAATGAAATTGATAGCCATATCTTTTTTACACAACATATTTTGCAAAATAAATCCTTATGTATTCCTCAAAATTTGAACTGATGCATTTTTTTATTATTACCGAAAACAAGCAAGTTATTCAAATGGTCTGCTTTAAATATCACACCTTATATGTAATATAGTACAAGAAATAAAAACAATTTAAGTACTCATATACAAATTCATACATTAATATACATTAAACTAGAAGTTAATTAAATGTAATGTAATTGTTAATTCTTTTGTATTAATAGGAACAGTAGAATTTGTCTTAGCCATTGACAATGTAATAACATCTTTTGGTTGAATATTACTTTAATACATGTACTATTCTCGCACAAGAAATTGGCATTCATAAAATTAAATACTTACAAGATAAAAAAATATATATTCTAATATTGAATTTTTCTAATTATGTCTTGTATGGTTTATAAGTTTAGACTTATTTAATATAATTATACACTTATTATGTATTGCACATAATAGGTGTTGTAACTATTAAAAATAGTGTAAGTTTGAGTATTTGGCTAGTCTTTTCATATGAAATTTGATTAACATAGTAAAGACAATATATAAAAATTTTAAATAAAAGAATTAAAGTGAATTATTATTAATTCTTTGTTGCATAAATTGAATGCATATAAAATATGCTCTTATTTAACTATATCTTAAAATTGTTTTTGTACTGATATTAATGTATAAAATTATTACTATTATATGAAATTTGGAAATAGAAAGTTATTAGTTTTGAAAAATGAGCCAATAGTCAATGTTAAGTGTAGATTAAGTATTTATAAATTATAAATTTTTCAAATTATATAATTTTTGTAAATTATAAATATTACAAATTGGATATTTTAGAGTATGATTTCAATTAAAAATTCAAATTGCCATTGTAATTTATAAAATGATTTGAATTATACATAAAAGTGAAACTGTAAAAACAATTATTATGACAAATATATTATTCTTTAATCAATAAAATATAAATTATGTCAACAATAATGGAAGAGATAAAGCTGTGTATTAAAATTGTTTAAATCTTATGACAAATATATTATTCTTTAATCGATAAGATATAAATTATATCAACAATAATGAAAGAGATAAAGCTGTGTATTAAAATTGTTTAAATCTTATAATCAACTTAAAAATTTACTTCATCATCGATAATATATACTATATATACTATAAAGGTTATTAAAAATATTTGATTGCAATAAAAATAAATTTATTATACATATATATTATCTGGTGCTAGATCTTTTCATACTGTAAAGATTTAATTTTATTGCAGATGTAAGTAAAAAATGGGCAACAGTTATTTCGCATGTAAAAGTTAAAAGAATATGTACTAAACCTTGTTATCATGCAATATACAAGTAGAACATGAGTTATGTATCAACCAAAATAAAGATACAACAACTGTAATTGTTATTTTTATTTGAACATGACTAGTATTATATATAGAAATTATTATATTTTCTCAACAATATTCGTACAAATTATTCTATGACATGTTAATAAATAATATTTTCTTAATTATTTATTATGAAATAATATTTCACAAGGAAACATAGTTTTGTCTTTTACATTAGCAGATCTGCTAAATATTCTTCAAATTCTTCCTCTCTTGTTTTTTCTAAATTTTCAATGGGCTTTTCTTTCCAAATTTTAGATTCATCTTTCTTTGTTTCTTCAACTGATTCTTCAGTGTTGCTCATGACTTCATTCTCTTCAGTTTTAATATGAACTGTAGATGTACTAGCTTTACTGCTGAGTGTTTCACTATTTGTCCCCAATCTTTTTAACGTTTTGTGTTTCTTTGCTTCACGCTTTTGAGATCTATAATTTAACTTTATAGAACACTCAGGACATAGTCCTTAAAAAGTATAAAAATAGTTAATTTATTTCTCAAATATAGGAACATTAAATAAATTGTAATTACTTACTTAATTTGATAAGAGCATTTTTCTTCTGTCCATGCTCTATATAACCAAAATTTACTTCCCAAGATTTAAGCTGTTCCTTTTCTTTACATTTTTTATTACCGCATTCAAATTGTCCTTTACCAATAATAACTTCTTTCTCTGTTCTCCATCTTAAAGCAACCTATTCAATATTGACTTTTAATGTCCAACTTGAAAATACATTATTATATATTAAATTTATATTATAATTTACCTTGTTTTGCTTATAATATGTTAAATCAGCTATACAGTATTCTTTAAACAATTTATCATAATATTTCTTTGCCAAACGTGCGCCCCATGTATTTGGTTCGTCATTATCTTGATCCCACAAAAACCTATGGTTTTCTCTAATAACGTCATAGTCTGTCTTATCTCGGGACCTCGAAACACAGGCCGAAACGTCAAGAGCTGCTTGTTTTAGAGTTTACAAAGTTGTCATCTTTCTTTATCGTTTACTTTTATTTAAGATATATTTTCCTTTTAATATCCGAAAATATTTTTTTTTTCTAAGCTTTCATAGTTTGAATAAACAAGTTAGAGAACGCTAATTTTTGCGCGAATTATACTAACGGTGATTACAATGTCAAGTCGAAATATATGATAACCAATTAAAAAATTTAACATACGTGTCCCGTTTTAAAGATGATATTGAACCTCCGTACAATGTAAAATAATCATTTATAAGTTTTTTATGTCTATCATAAGCTGACAAATACGCATAAGCCGGGAACATGTTTTCTTCTTGCAAACTGATTCTCTTTCTACTTCGATATGTAACGTTGAAATATTAGTTAATACATACACGAGGCATTTAATTAATAATATTCCTTAATATAATATGCCAAGGAAATATTGTTTCACTAACAACAAATATGTAGTTACATTCGATAAAATTATCTCTTTTTAGAAAATGCGTCGATGTTGAGGAAGTTCCAAATTATTCCATGCACTGTTACAAATTACTTTTAAAAATGGCGACGTATGGAAAGCAGCGCCATTACAGCAAATTAAATACAGAAAAGCTTAAATTTTAATTTGATGTTACTTGAATAAAAATTTGCTAAAACCCAACAAATATCTTATTATTTATTATAGATTTCAATAGTTTTGACTTAGTTTGTATTTCTATATTTTATGTAATTAAACATTGACTAAATTAGTTAAATATTGTTACGTTTACTTAATGTAATATCTTATCACTAAATAATTATAAGTATAATATGAGAATATTTTTCACTGTATGTTAAATATATTTCCTTTACATATAATATACTCCTTTTGTAAATAAGAATAAGATATTAAGATATTTTTAAATCAATAATGTTTAAAATTATTAATGTGAAAAGTATGTACAATTTTCCTACAAAAAAGTTAAGATCATTTAGTAATTTCGTTAAAATAGTTGAGGTTGGACCCCGAGATGGATTACAAAATGAAAAAAATATTGTACCAACTGAAGTTAAAGTTAAATTTATTAATAAACTATCAGAAAGTGGACTAAAAACTATTGAAGTTACCAGTTTTGTATCTCCAAAATGGATTCCACAGCTGGCTGACAATTCACAAGTATTTAAAAAAATTAACAAAGTATCAGACATTTCTTATCCAGTATTGGTGCCAAATATAAAAGGCTTAGAAAATGCTTTACAAGTAGGTGTAAAAGAAATAGCTATCTTTGGAGCAGCATCCGAAACTTTCTCACAAAAAAACACAAATTGTTCTATTAGTGATGGCATGAAGAAAGCTAAAGCAGTTATTAAGGAAGCATTGAAAAATAATATTAAAGTCAGAGGATATATATCATGTATTATTGGTTGTCCTTATGAAGGTAAAATTAAGCCAACAGTTGTAGCAAATTTAGCTGCATTTATGTTAGAATGTGGTTGTTATGAAATTTCTTTAGGAGATACTATTGGTGTAGGATCACCAAATAAAATAAAGAATGTACTATCTGAATTAAATCATGTATCAAATGATACTAGTAAATTTGCAATTCACTGTCATGATACTTATGGACAAGCATTAGTAAATATTTATGCTAGCCTTGAATATGGCATAAGAACTTTTGATTCATCCGTTGCTGGTCTAGGTGGATGCCCATATGCAGTTGGAGCATCTGGAAATGTTGCTACTGAAGATCTACTTTATTTTTTACATGAGCAAGGTTTAGAAACTGGAGTAGACCTCAATAAAATAATAAAAATAGGAGATTTTATCAGTAGTCAACTTCAAAGGAGAAACCAATCTAAAACAGGTATTGCAATTCTTACAAAAGAACATTAAAAAAAAGCTCCTTGTAATTATATGCTTAAAGAAAGCATCAACAGTAACAAAAATGTACATCTTTCTTAAGTTTAAAAAAATTTGTTTAAATATATAATTGATATGAATTTTGAAAAATAGTTTGGATAATGATGTAAAGATTCTATATGTAATACTTATTAAATTTTAATGATATTTTTAAAACTCGTATACACAGTTCATAGAAATATGACGAAATGGTTAAACACATTACGATGTGTTATTTTCGTAAGTAGTTATATATTCCTTACAATATTAAGAACATACATGTAAAGCCGATTTTATTAAAAAAAATACATTATAATACAACATGATAATAGAATAACAGGATCTGATTCACACTTTATGCAGAACCTGTGTTACGAAATATTCGATAATTCTTGTAATATAGCCTGTGTGTCTAATGTACTCAAATCTATTGATCCTCGAGTATCAATTACGACTCCAGTTACCTGAAAAATAATATAAATATCTAACATCGTAATTTTACACATTTAATTGAGCATTACCATTTCTTCAAAGAATGCAACATGATTAGGTTTTTCAGAATATCTTTCATATTGGTCCAAATTATCTTGCAGTTTCAAAGTAAGACTATCATAATTCTGTATTATGATAGCTAAAATTTGTTGTTCTGTTGGAGTAGATAAACTTTCACTTGCTAACCATGCAGCTATTTTCGGTGGAAAATGATTTACTATGTCTCTCATATTCACTAAACAATTTGTTAACTTTAGTGCATGTTCTTTATACTCGTAAGATTCGCTTGTTGAATAACGGAGTGCTTGAACATATAAATTGTATTTCTGTTATTAATTATTATACAATTTAAAAAAGAATGTATACAATTATTTATTGTATATATACCCATGGCATTCAAATTTGTAAAAATAAGCCTCATTCGTATTATTTCATAAAATAATTCGTCGTAACTACTAGAAGAAGACAGAAATGTATCTCCATATGTAATAAACAGATTTAAGATATTCACAACCTAAAAAAATTAAGTCTATTTTTTTAATTCATACTCTATCATAGAATTAAGTAAATTATATAAATTTACCTGAATAGCTAAAGGAAAAATATTCATTTTCTTAATAAGGTGGCTTTCGTGTGTCGTTAGAAATTTTAGTAGATTAATCAGAGCAGTCCAAAGATCCCTCCATTGATATCCAAGCCTAACTCTACATCTTTTTTGGTAACAAAGTAATCTCTGCAGAACCCCAATACATTGATGATAAAGTTCCAATGGGAATTGTTTCATCATATGTGAGGTGACAAACTCAACAAGTAAATCTACAATATTGTGCTATTATCTAAATGATTCAAATTTTTGTTTAAATAAATCAAATAACAATTATACCAAGCAAAGTAGCCGCTAATGGTTGTGCTGGTGCTGCCTTATCTTGTATCTTCCTATGATGCATTGGTACTCTGTGAAGTTGTACTCTGAATGCTAAATTTGCATCATGCATTAAATTATTTGCATATTGATCTTCTGCAATACAGCTTAATATAAGAAAGCACAGCTTGACATTGTTCCTTATTGCTTCTGTCTTAATTACTTGCATAACTATCGAACTAAAATAATTAAAGTTTGTTATGATAAAAGATATAACACATTTACACATATTGTCTTTTATATAATATCAAATATTATTATTCATATAGTATTATTTCTTACCAATATTGTAAGAAAGTGGCCAATAAATTAAATGGCTGAGCCATTACATCAGGTAGTTGTGCTCCAGGAGCTACTGCATTTGGTCCCAATGTATTATTTGGAGAAGGTGGTGCGCTAGTATCACTCTGTGTATATGCCAAAGTTGTTACAAAATTACGATTTAAATGTGTTGCTTCATAAAGTGCTAATAACAATGCATTGTTCGCGCGGACTTGTTGCGTTTTTGCTTCTTCCTCTCCAATGAACATACTACCGACTATACTCGTTAGGGAAGATAACCAGGATGCTTGTATTTCTAGGAAATATGTTTTGCATTATTGCGTTAATAGTAAATAATATAAAAATCTGATATGAAATGCATTATACCTGCTCTTTGTTGAGCAAATTGCCTGCAAAACTCCATCAATGAACTTGATATAACTTGCCCATACCCATTAAGAGCTAATTCGTCATCTAAAATCGATAATTTAACGATATAAGGATTTGCTCTTTCATGTTTTCTGTAATTGACTAGAAGTGTTAAAAGCAACACTGCATCATGTCCATGACGACTTCTAGCTGTTGTATCTCTTAACAACTGTATAAAGAAAATAGGAAAATTAATGCTTAATTAGAATAATATTTTCAGTGTTTATAATATTCATACTAAAATAACACCTACTTGAACCAGAGATTCAAAAACACTATTAAGCATAATATATTCCAACAAAGTGTTTTGACTAACATTGTCCATACCAGTTACAATAATTAATAATAATTTCAAGCATAAAGCCTTTAAACTATCAGGATATTCACCTAAAATCATGGGAAATTTTAATAATCAATCTCTTTTGAAAGACTGTAGATTATTCAAATGTTAAAGGTATATTTGAATCTTTGATTTATAATATAAATGATTTGATAGTCACCTATATATTACAATGCATATACCTGTTAAAAAATTATTACAGTGTTGCATTAATGTTGTCATTCTCTGTTCTGCAGAATCAAATCCTACTAAGATGTCTATTAAATTAAATCCACAATCGCCTTGACTAGCTTTTTTATACATAAATTGAATAACAGCTGCTAAGGTTTGTAAAGCATATACAACTCTAAAAGGATGTTCATCAACTAATGTGTCTACACAATGGCAAACCAAAGCATTTAAATTTTCTCTGCTTGCATTTAACTGTTCTGCAGTCATATGTAAAATCTCACTTTCAATATGTGGAACCTAAAAATATAAAGAAAATCGTGTGGTGTTAAAATTATTAAATATTACATATAAATTTAATCACAAGGTATATAATGTAATGATTCATTTGTTTTTTTTTTAACAGGGAAAATAAGTAAAAAAAAAATTGACTGTCAACAAAAAGTATTAAATTTGCACATTTTATTTGGTTAACTTAAAAATTATTTTGTATTAAAAGATAGATTATAAACTCATGATTTTAATATTTAAGAGCTTATACTTTGTTTATGTAGATGTACTTTAGTACATCATGATTGGTAAATTTGTTACTAAGTTAATACAAGTAAGTTTAAACTGTTATTAAAAAAGTATATTTATATTTCAATAATATTATTTGTATTTATATAATTTTACAGTCATTGCCAACATGGGATGTGACAAAATATTATGGAAAAGTGTGTATATATCAATTAAAATGTTTAAAATATAAAGTTCAAACAAGTGAAGCATGGTTTAATTTTAAATGCAAATTTATGCCAGGTAGTTTGCGTAATGAACTAGAATGTGAAGAATCTGTTGAACATAAAGGCATGTATTATATAATAAGTATACATTTTACTTTATTATAAAATGATTAATTTACATACAATAATCATAAATGAACTTACAGTTAAAAATGAATCTAAACAACAAAAAGTACAACAAAATATCTTACCAAAAATAAAATCACAAAAAAATGTTCAATATACTTCAGAGAGTCATGAAAATTCATTAAATTCACATAATGATTTAAAAGGCCCTTACTTTATTGATGAATTTGTATCAAATGCAAAGAAGCAAGAAAAACAAGAGGATCAGAAATATCAAGAAACTGAAAAATATTCCATGCATGATGATTATGTGACAAAGAAGGAGAGAAAAGTATAATTTAATTATAATTTTTGTTAATAATGATTCTTTTTAATGAAAAATTTTAATTATAGGTGAAACGTGTTTAATGACTTTTATGATAAATTAAAAGAATTTTTAGTTTTAAACATTTATCATATTCACTAAAATTTATTAAAACATTTTGGAAGCTTTTATCTTTTCAATGTTTGTACTTAAATAATATTAAATAAAGTGTGATGTTTAATAAAAAAGATTAAAAAAGTACTGACCATAGGTTTAATTAAAAACAGTTCATTCCAAAAATTTGGATGAGCTAATGTTAAATCTTCTCCTTTGAAAAAACTTTCATAAATTGGAACAAGTTTTCCTTTATGTTGACGTTTGGAACCTGAACCACTCCGTTTTCTCATTGCCATTGCCATAATTATTAATTTAACTTTTATCATTTCCTTCACCTAAAAATGAACTTATGTAAATAAAAATTATATTTGGACATTATAATTCTAAATAATTTATATTATATAAATGTGGATATACTTACACAAATGTATTAAAAATAATTCATTATTTTTATTTCATACTCGTATAATTCGTATCTTTTGATCTAACCTCTATATTAAAATTTCAATGATTTCAAGTTAACAAATAGTGTTTTAAAATGTATAATATCTCCGTGACAAAATCATTTATATAATTTCATGTTTGAAAATTATAGAAATGTGAGATGAATTTTAAAACGTGAGCACCAAGTATTTACTTACTAATAAAGCAGGTAATTTCTTGATGTCACATAAGTAATTTTTCTATTTATTTGAAAAATAATTCTAAAAGTACTTTTTTGATGGTACTATTCCTGATTATTTAATTTTTTAAAGATTTTATTGAAAAGTCTCTAAATATTGAAAAGGAGATAATAATACAAAGAATTAGAAAAACATCCATGCACAAGAATGACAGGGAACCATTATGGAATAAATCACACCACACACGCCGCTCGCACACACGCACGCACGCATGCACGTATGCATGCACATAAAATATATACTTGTACGATATTTTCGTACAAATTCGTATTTTAAAAATAAAACTAAACAAAAATAAATGTTGCTTATATAAATCATTAACATATACTCTTTATAATCCAAACAAATCTAGTAAATCTACTGATACATCTATTTCATCTAATTTATGAGAAAACGTGTTCTTATTATTTACATTTTATTTTGATCAGATAAAAAAAATTTAATTAACTATTAAATATAAAAAATTGTGTACTATGGTTTTATATCTTTTAAGAAATAGGTTCTTAAAAATTTTAATTTTGTAATTATATTTTATAATGATATAAATATAACATATATGTAGTAACATAATAATTATTTTAGATCCTTGTCATCATTGCCAAATGTTTGTATTCAGTATTATGTTGGAATATCCAGACAATTTTCATTTCATAAAAAGCAGTACATTAAAGAAAATGTATTCAAAAGCAATCGTTATGCAAAATATACGGCATATATTACTATTGCCACATCTGTACTAAGCTTACATTATTACATATTTTATAAAATGGTCCATATTATAAATGCAAAATCTATTTCATGTGGAGAGTTCAGAGCAGATTTGAAGACATATAATTTAGAAGAAATAAACAAACATGATAATAAAAAAGATGGTATATGGGTAATATTTAAGCAAGGAGTATATGACATAACAGATTTTGTTGATAAACATCCAGGTGGTCCTTCAAAAATATTAATGGCAGCTGGAAGTTCAATTGAACCATTTTGGGCAATTTTTGCTAATCATAATACTCAAGAAATATATGAGCTTCTTGAATCAATGAGAATTGGAAATATTTCTAAAGAAAATGTAGTTTTTAATACAATTAATGAGAATGATCCATATTCAAAAGAGCCTATAAGACATAAAGCTTTAAAGATAAATGGTCAAAAACCATTTTGTGCTGAACCACCACCTTCTTTATTAATTGAAAGTTTTATTACACCAACGTAAAGATATTTTAAATATGAAAATAATTTTTAAGAATAAATAAAAATAATTTTATTTTCAAAATATTATTTTATTTCAGGGAATTGTTTTATGTAAGAAATCATCTTCCTGTTCCTGAAATAGATATAAAAACTTATAGTTTAGAATTAATAGTAGGGGAAGTAACAAGAAAGGAACTTAAATTTGAAGACATAAAAAAATATCCTAAATATACAATAACAAGTGCTATAATGTGTGGAGGGAATAGGAGATCAGAAATGGCAAAAGTACATTGATATAACTCTTCTTCTTTTTAAATATATTTATACTTTTTATCCTTTTATACTACCAACTATATCTGTCTTAATTTATTATAGGAGAAGCAATTAAGAGGACTTAGTTGGGGTATAGGTGCTGTTGGTAATGCTATATGGACTGGTGCAAGGTTGTGTGATATATTGAAAGATTTAAAGATTAATGAAGATGATTATAATCATGTTCAGGTATAAATAAAGCATGAAAATTTTTTAAATATTAAAAGTAATAAGAAATAATTAGAATTTGAAATAATTTCATGAAATCAGTTTGAAGGATATGATTTAGATCCTTCGGGTACACCATATAGTGCAAGTATACCTATTCATAAAGGTATGGACTGTAGAGCAGATGTAATTCTGGCTTATGAAATGAATGGACAAATCATACCAAGGGATCATGGTTTTCCTGTTAGAGTAATTGTTCCTGGTGTTGTGGGTGCTAGGAATGTAAAATGGCTTGGTATTGACTAATTATTATAATTAAACATAAATTATATTTAATAGAATAATATTATGATAGAATAATTATAAATTTTGCTGTAATTTTTATAGCTAAAATAATTGTCACAAAAGAAGAAAGTCAATCACAATGGCAGCAACGTGATTATAAAGCTTTTTCCCCTAGTACTGATTGGGATAATGTAGATTTTTCGACGGCACCTGCTATACAAGAAATGCCTGTAATATCTGCAATATGCAAACCAGAACCATCAGAAACAATTAAAGTGATAAATGGAAAAATAAATGTAAAAGGTGAATCAAAGTTTTTAAGATTTCATTTTTTACCTTTGTAATAAAATTATAATTACAGGATATGCATGGTCTGGTGGAGGTCGAAAAATCATTCGAGTTGATGTAACAAATGATCAAGGTAAAACCTGGCATACAGCTAATTTAAATGCTGAAGATTATAATGCTAAGGAAGGTAAATATTGGAGTTGGACATTATGGAGTATAGATCTTCCCGTTAAAAAAGACTGTAAAGAAACAGAAATTTGGGCAAAAGCTGTAGATGCGTCATACAACGTTCAACCGGAAAGTTTCAGAAATATTTGGAATTTACGAGGTTTCCTTTGTAATGCATATCATAGAGTTAAAGTTAAATTGGAACACTAGAGTTTATAGTAACAGTTCAATATGGTCAATTTTTTTTATCACTATTAGTAAGGAAGATCAGAGAAAACGATTCGCTTCGGGCGACATATTTTTGGGGTAATTTTTCATATGATACACGATGTTGTTTTGTCGTTTCTTTTATTTATATTTTTAATACGTTTAATATTTGTGATATTTTTTGAGCATTATTGAAGGATCGTTTTGGACGACGAAAGCTAGCTATGCTAATGACTTTTTTATCTAATAAGAAATGAATAATACTTAATCATACTCAATTTTTTTTTATTAACATAAATGTATTTTTTAATAACAATTTATATTTTATTTTCTTAAAGTTTTATATTTTCATTATTAAAATAAGTAGGTACATTGTCTACAGATATTTCACAATTCGTTAAATTGTTTATATTGTGTACTTCTAACAGAGGTGGGGATTTCATTATGGATTTACCAATTATAATAACATAAGGAAATCCAATCATACGAGCCTGTAGAAAACGATTTCCAATAGTTAAATTTGTTCTATCATCGAGTATAGTGTCAATATTTAATTGATTTAAAATCTCTATTATTTGGTTTATGTATTGAGATTTGCTTTCTTCTTTACTATTATTCTGTAAATTATCATTTTTTGTATTCATCATGTACAACAAAAGATATTATACAAAATATATTACCTTTGGTGGTATAACGCATACAGTATATGGTGCTAAATTTTTTGGCCATCTTAATTCTTTATCGGTAGATAATATTTCGGATATGGCTGTAAAAATACGAGTCAAACCAAGTCCAAAACAGCCCATTGCTAAAGGTGTTGATATATTATTTATTTGTTTTGTTACATTTAAAGGTATTGTGTACTTTGTATCTAATAAAAATGCATGCCCCACCTTAAATGAAATATAGACATTAAAAGCTCAAAATTTATTTTAACATTTATTACTTCTTTTAATTCAACATTTATTATCTCTTTCAATTAAACATTTCTATTACCTCTATAGTCTGTTCTTCATGAAATGCATTTTTACAGTAAGGGCAATGTGTTTCTTTACACATACTTTTATTAATAGCATGTTGACAAGATGAACACACACAAACAATGTCTTCACCAATATTACACGCGTAATGGTATTCATGAGTTACAGATCCACCAATTAATCCTGGGTTACCAATAGCTGCAAATGCAAGTAATGCTAATAAACATGAACATTGAATTATATTACTTATTTTCTACCTTTTATAGATTTTATTCCTATTTTATTAAATATTTTTGTATATGCTTCACATACTGATGCATATGTGTCTTGAGCACTAATAAGATTTATATCAAATGTATATAAATCTTTCATAATAAATTCTCTACTTTTTAAGAATCCATGTCTTGGTTTTATTTCGTCCCTCCATTTATTAGAAATTTGATATAATTTTAAAGGTAATACATTTATTGATATTGTTTTTGCAGCTTCTGATAACATGAAACAAATTGTTTCTTCATATGTCTATAATAAAGTATACTTGTTAAATTACTTTTTTATTAATTAATTTGCTATTTTTTTATTACTTGAGAACTTACTGGACCAAGTATATAGTCTTTTTGAGACCGATCTTTTATTTTAAACAATTCAGTTATATTATTAAGCCTATTTGTTTCTTCCCATAAATGTATAGGTACTAATGCTGGAAGTAATAACTTTTGGGCTCCAATTCTTTCCATTTCTGTGTCAACAATAGCTGTTAGTTTATTTAAGACACGTAAACCCAAAGGTAGCATTGCATACATGCCATTAGCAATTTGTTGAATTAATCCATATTTAATTAAATTCTACGATTAAGTAATATATATATTACAATTAGTAATTATTAAAAAATTCATACAAAAATAAAAGAAGGCATACTTCATAGCTTTTTGAAGGGACCTTCGATTTTTTAGCAGTATAAATTGTTGAGGTTACTGGTTGATATAATTGCGATAATTTCTTTACATTAGAAAATGACATTTTATATTTTAAATAATCGTGTTTAAGTGCATAAGAAATCACGTTGTATTTCTTGTTATAAGTTCGTATCAAATTATTGGTCAATGCTTTTAGGTTCAGTAATATATTAGTACGAATACTATGTTCATGGTAGTGGTGGTAGAAACAGTACAAATAATGACAGATAAATTCTTGTGCGTTTTAGGTTATTTTATCTTAATTTTAATTCTGTTTTACGAATGTCGCTTAATATTATAATTGTGAATTTATTTCGAGACGATAAAATTTTCTAATATCTATAATTTTCATAAAAAAATGTAATACCATAATATAAAATCAAATTGATCCGAAAGAAATAGAATCTACAGTTACCGAAATGGACGAAAAAGAATTGGAATTAGCTTCTAAGGAAAAACTTTTTCCGAAAAATTTTGATCAAGCTGATTTCAGTAACAAACCACTTGCAGAAGGTACGAGTTAATGAGTTTCGTTTAATGCAAATTTATTATAAATCATTTTCTAAATTGCTTAATAAAAATATTCCAAACGACAGCTGTTTAACGCTATTAGATATGTAATCAAATTTCTAATATTTTTTTTTTTACTAATATTTTTAGTTACTAATCTTTTGATTCAACAAGACATAAAAATACATGAAAAAATAATGCCAATTCAGGAGCAGCTTATACAAGACAATATCATTAAAATTGAAACAAATTCAGTATTATTAAAGAACAATCAAGACAAAAAATATCATCGGTTGATAGAAGAAAATATTACTAACGCAACTATGAAAAGTTCTACTTCTTTAAGTAATTTTTCAACTGAATTTCAAAAATGTCATGAATCTATTGATATAATTCTACAAGAAAAAAACCTTCATAAATCTTTTTCCTGTAATGATATTAGATCATCTTTGTCAACATTATCTGACACATCATTATATACACCTCCAGATGTAATTATTAATAATAATGTAGAAGCTATAAAACCAAATACATGTAAAAAGATAAAAACTATATGCAATGATGAAGAAGAAACACTTTTTAGCACTAAACTATATATGGAGACACATGAAACAAAGTCATTGGAAGAAACTGTTAATATAGAAACACACAACAACTCTGAAATTAAAAATAATATTAAAGAAATAGAAGATGTAGTATGTCATTCCAATGTAGATGAAAAATTAATAGTTAATAGTAATCAGGTACAAGTTCTAACAAATTCAATTAAATGTGAGAAGGATTTTAGCACTGAACAAAAATCATGTGAAACTACCAAGAACATTAAGCCACAGAGTAATGTAATGTCAAGACCAACTTTGGTTGATGATAGCAGATTAGTGAAAATTTCACTGCCAACAAATCCAATTAATATAATGCAATCAAATGCTCAGTTTTTAAATAAAAGTCGCAATTTTTTCAACTTTATTACAGAAAAGTCGACAAATATCATGGAGAAAACATTGTTACCACAACATTTAACAATGAAATATAATTCAGTTGTGAAGTCTGTAGATAATACTTATAATGAGGCACAATATACAGAAGAAACTTCTAACATAGAATCTTCTTTAACACAACCAGTACTTAACAATTCAACAGATTCATTTACAAAAGTAAAACATATTTCTTATGTAACAAAAGGTGAAATGGATGTACATATTGCAAAAAATGAATGTATAAAAAATGAAGAAAAAAGAAATACTTCCATGAGAAATTCAAATGAAATCATGCATGGAAGTGTTGAAAAAAATAAAAACTATTTATTAAGGAATGATAATACATTTGTTGAAAATAATGATACTAACTTTCCTCTTAAATTAAAGGATTCAGAACAAACTAAATCTTACTCTGTCAATAATGTTAATAAAACAGCTAACAATACAGATATACTTCATACAGAAACAAATAGTAATTATGATATTAATTCTATGGTATTACATTCTGAGAACAATAATTCTCAGGAACATATATATGATGATATATATTCTAAAGAAGATGAAAATGTTGATTTTGAAGAATCAAAACAAAGTTTATTACAACATCCAGCTTATCTTGTTTTATTAAAAGACTATGCAGATTTAAAATCTAAGCATTTAAAGTTACAAGAAAAAGTTGAACATTTTGTAGAGAGGAATCGAATTTTGGAAGCAGAAAACAAAGGAGAAATCTTTTCTGTACAAATCGAAACATTAGAGAAAACAATAAACAGACTTACGTTCGAATTACATACATCGCTAGAAGCACAAGAAATATATAAAAAAGAATACAATGCTGCAAATAAAGAGAGGGAAAGTATGGTAATGAAATATGCTGTTAGTGAAAAACAACTTATTGATACACAAAGGTAAATTACGATTTGTATAGATCTCATCAATATATTTTATAATTATTTGATATCTATTTTTCTACTTTATTATTGTTAGAGCAAAGGAATGTGCAGAACGTAAAGTAAAAGAAATGACTACGCAACAAGAAGCACTTCAAAGTAAATTACGAGAAATGCAAGGAGAACGAAATAGAATATGTAATATTTTAAGCGGGAAACATCGTGAAATAACTGATCTCCAGAAAGAAGTCGATAAATTAAAGGAAGATGTTAAAATGAGAGATATAAAGTTGCAATGGACTCAAAACAAACTTAAAACAGAAATAGATTTACAAAAGGAAACTCAACAAAAATTAGATAAAGCTATGGTAATAATAATATGAAAACATAGTTTGTTAATCTATGATATTAATTTTTCTTCGTTTTTGTAGACTAAGATCAATGAAATGAAGGAAGAATGTGAGCAGGTGCGCAAAGAAACACAAGAAACAATGCGAAAATTTCAACAATCCGAAGAAAATAAAGCAGTTACATTGGATCAACAATTAAAAGAACAACAAGCTCGTTTAATTTTAGAAAGACACGTTACAGAAGATAAAGAGATGTTGAGGATTCAATTACAGAAGGAAGTAGATACATTAAAGCACAGGCAACAAGTTTTAATTGAAGAAAATAACACTCTTAGTTTAAAAATACAAGATGTTGAAAGAGATCGTGTAAGTTATGAAAGTAATCTGAATAATTTGAAAATTATAATAGATCAACGTCAAAAAGAAATTGCAGAGTTGCTCAGTAAAGTATCTGAATTAGAAACATTGAGGATTCAGCTTCAACAGTAAGTTTTACAATCATAAAATTATGACCTTTGTTTTGTTTTTTCATATCAATATTTAATTTTTTCAATATAGTAAAAATCAGTACTTATCATCGACTGAAGCAGAAATTCAACATTTACGTTCGGCTAATGAAGAATTACAGGCTGATATGTTTGCATGTCGTCAGAAGGAAGCAGAAATGCTAGATTTTACGCAAAAATTGACTGATAAAAATGTACGATTACAATCTGACTTCACAGCTATTCAAGCTAAAACAAAACAATTAGAACAAGAACATGGACCATTACATAACCGTATAAGTGAATTAATTACTAAACTAAAAACATTGGAAGAAAGCCTTGCTCAAGAACGAAAAACAAGAATCGACGAATGTGAAATTTTAACCAGGCATCTTGCTGAACAAACTCAGATAGTACAAAATCTTACCCAGCAGTTAGAAGATAGTCAAGGGGAAAATGCAGTATTAAAAAGAAAACACCAAATAAGTATGAAAGAAATGACGCGCGAACTACAACAGTGCCGGAAAAAATTTGAAACGTTAAAAACATCAGTACCTTATAATTCATTGGATGCTGCATCCAAGAATGGATCAAATATGTCATTGAATACAGGTTTTTAAATATGAAATTTCCAGTCATTTTAGTTACTCAATTTTTGTGCTTTTGTACTGATATATTTTTGTGTTATTTTAGCAGATACTTTAAATGGTGCCTTATCCGATAACAGTACTAATGGTGACCAAAGTATTCAGCCTACAGAACCTAGTAGACAATTATTAATAGATCGCATTATTAAGTTACAAGAGAATAATGCTAGAAAAGCAGAAAAACTAGATTTTTTCGAGGAACATACACGAATCTTAGTTGAAGAATTACAGAAGAAAAAGAAAATCATACAAAATTATATTTTGCATGAAAGTATTGGTGCCATGGGTAGCAATGAGAGAGATAAATACAAGGTAAATTTTTATATGAGACTATACATAAGATAATTTTACGGCCATCATTTTATAATCAATTTTTATACTAGTATTTAATATCTATTAAATATATTAACAGTATTATGTTTTAATTTTTATATACAAGCATATCAAAAGCAGGAGAAATGTAGTAAGTTTAAGAACAAGAATTAAAATTATTTTTCTAATGTTTGTAATAATTTTAAAGTCTAAATATTAATCGTCACTTTCGTTTAGTTTTAAATAATTTAATTATTATTTACTTATAGGCTGAATTAGCACGACACGGAGGGATAATGGCCTCTGTCTACAATCAACGAGTTTCAGATGACAATATGACTCTTGAATTATCGTTAGAAATAAATCAAAAACTTCAAGCAGTTCTTGAAGATGCATTATTTAAGAACATTACGCTGAAGGTAAACCGAAAACAACTTCTAATTATAAACAGAATTAAAGTTTAGATTTGTTTTTTGTCAATTAATATTATTTTTGTAGGATAACATTGACACTCTTGGTGAAGAAATAGCAAGGTTAACAATGCAGAATCAACAAAGGCAAAATACAAACTAAGAGTATATTACAATACATACCTGTACTTATATTGTAAAGATAAAGAGACATAAAGTGCATATGTTAAAAACATGAAGATAGATAACTTATCAATTAAGAAACTTGTGTTATATACACACTAATATTAATTTTAATGTCGTATATTGAATATATATAAAATTATATTTCTGCTCTATAAGATGTATATACAGAATCATTACCACAAGCAAAATTATACTTAATATAATTCGAAAGATAGATTCTTTAATTTAATTTAAAAATAGACATAATAATTTTATGTTAATCATAATGTAATTCAAACATGTAAATTTATTCGTCATTATTTTTTGATATAATAATATTTTTAATTTACTTTTTATGTATTATATGGTTTTTTTATTATATATATTTGTGATAAAACTATCTTTAGTATATTGTCCTTAGTTTTACTACTGTGTAATTTTAATAGTTGATTTGCATTAAAACTAATATTGTGTTTCAGTATCAAAAGTTTCATTACATCTAGTCAAAAACGTTAATATTTGAACGAACGATTTATTACATTTGTTATTTCATTAAATTTTAATTACAGAATATAAATTATTTTTAATAAATGTTGGAATTACATTTAATGTTATAAAGGTAATTTGTTCCTTGTTTAGTAATTATTTATTTATTTAATTGCTCTATATGTAAGATAGCTATATTCTTTAAAAAGAACATTCCATACTGTTGTGGATAAATTAAGCAAAAATTTATTAATATTTTATTAGTTTCATGTATATATACACTTATATAATACACTTATTTCGGTAATTGAATATGTATTAAAATATTAATTAAATATTATGTATATTATGATATAAAAATTGTGAATCTCTGTAAAGACAAAAATTCTATAAAACAATGCAAAAAATATTTCAATTTATTCTAAATGAATAAGTCTTAAATTTTTTGTATATCACTTTTATTTTTATTTTATACAAAAATTGTTCACTTACCGTATAGATGTTCCTTATTTATGTTAAATAAATTAATTCATATTTAATAAATGAAGATAATAATTAAGTAACTTAAAACATACAAGATAATTTATATAAATGGTTTATTCGCAATAAACCATGAAAACAAAGAACTCGTATTATACAAAATATATAATAACAAAAGTTTGAATTATTTCACGCAATAACTTTACAATAAAAAAAGGTTTTGAATGATGTAGGTTTGTTCACACGTTTAATGACAACCTGTACTACATAATATAAAGTATTTGATTATAACAAGACAAAGCAGACCTCGCGATTCTGTAATCTATATTTTCTTGTATTTTTTTCTTATCGTCAGGTAATTACGAAACTATTATATTACTTTTACTCCATCTAATAAGAGGAACACACCTATTATTTCATAACCAATAAAATTCTTTTTTTGAGAAATATCGATTTCTCACTATTTGCCATATATATAAGACACATTATTCCTTCGGACAAATAATTTTGTTTTAATCTTGCTTGTTCTCCTTCATTTTTTCATTTTCTTTCTTTAGTCGCTTCTCCACCCTGTATATACATTATACACAGCACTTATAATTTTACAAAGCACGTACTATAGAAATTTACAACCGAATAGGTAAATTATTATTCAAATTATGATTTAATCGAAAGTAGATATATGTTAGTTCTTACGTATCTCATGTGTACATCTGTCTTATGTTTTTACGTGTATTTGTGTATGTCGTGTGCGTGTATATGCACGCCATCGCGTATGTGTGTGTGTATATTGCTTTTCATACATTGTGTCGTAAAATACACATGTACGTGATCTTATATCCTACATTTTATTTCATTTTGAAGGACCATTGATTAGTTCGCATTTGGACAATCTTAAACGGCGATTTATGAAGACATTTTGAATATGTTACATTGTTGGTTGCTCCATTTGTTCTATTACTAATACGGCTTCATTGTCGTTTCGCAAATTATTAAACAGCGTTACAACTTAAAGGTAATTAATATATGAGTTTGATTTTAATTGCCTGTGTAAAATTTAATTTTCTTCACTGTTCATGATATAACTCGAAAATAAATTTATGTTTTAGTACTTAACAAATACTAGACAGATTATTTTACTCGAGTTCCTCTTTTACTCGAATCGAATAAAATTTCGACATCTTGAAAAATACGTCTTTTATTTCGTCTTTTAGAGCGTCTATAATGGTCATTAGTTCGTTCTCCGATATTTCTTTCCAAATCTTATGAAACAATGTAATTAAATATAAAAAATGTTACTTTCATATTTCGTAAGTCTACACCGATAAGAAAATAGATGTTAACATTTGGTGTTAAAAATCAGTGTTAACATCTGTTATTAAATCAAATCTTTAAATCAGAGTATCAAATGTTTAATAATAATTGCTGTATGAAAATTATTCTTTTAACAATTCAATTGATTTAAATCATCGGTCCATTCATTCGTATATAATTCAATTACGATTCATAGTCGATATAAATCAAATTGTTGGTTTATTAAGATTTGAAACGGATGAAGATCATTAAGAAATGTGCGAATGACTGTGTGCGTTGAGCAGGACCGAGGATCAATTGGATGTAACATGGCGTTCAATAATGTATCACGAATTAAATATACATACTAAATTCTAAAGAATTTTTTAACGCAAATTGATAACATTTTGTATCTCGAGGAATAATGTCAAGAAATATAAAAAAGATCAAGGCTACACAATGTTGCTTCATCATTTAAAACAACGACATACTGATTATTCATTTCCGCCGAAATATCTACCAATAAGAATAAACTGATCGCATGCGCTAGCGCATATATATACTCCTTTGAGAATCGGAAGCTTCATGCATTGATCTGTATCGAACGTGTCACTTTTCTATGTTCATTCAGAAGAATCATAAACTTCTGTTTCACTAGATAACAGGAAAAAAGTGTAAATCTCAATCTCGATGTCAGATCGATTGCGTACGTCTAGCTTTTGTAAACTTTAAAAAAGCCTATACAGTCCTTGTCGTACTTTTAATCGTCGTAATGTGATATTTCAAGATTCTCTTGTGAATTCATTACGTTTGGAGCACATCGACCCTCGAGCGCGTTAATTTTGCCCGGCGAATTGATTTCGACCCTGCCATGTTATAATAGTTCGCTCTCGTTGTCCGCTTCTACATTAACTCTGCCCAGTTAGATCGAAGTTGCGAACCGCCAAGAGGGAGAGCCCCGGGATCAGCAAAAGGAACGAAAGCTAGAGACCGAAAGATAAAGTAGGAGAGATATATAGCTTAAAGGGAATGTATTAGCTACATGTCAGCCTTAGGGAGGTTATGGGTGGTTGATGGGGTTGGAGCAAATAAAAAGAAGGGAAAAGGATTGAAAGATTAAAAGAAGATGAAAAGACGATATTTTACGTGAACAGAATTCAGAAAAATTTTGTAAAATTGAAAATAGAGAAAGATAGCGAGATTAGTGTAAGTAACGGAGAATGGAGAGAAAGAACTAAAGAATGAAGAAAAGCGGAAGATAAGTAAACCATAAACAGTGTGCGCAAGTAAAAAAAGCGAACAGATGAAGGCAAACGGAAGAAAGAAAAACAGAAAAATAACGACGCGAGAGACGGAAGATATGCACGGAGGAAGAGGGTTTATGTTCTAAAGCCTACAACCCACCCCCTATAAATTCAGCTAGGGTGCTTTCCATTAAAGGGAAACTGCCGTTGCTAGAGTATTTCTGTCGAGCAGCTTAAAGTGGATGGAACGTTCCAACCTAACCTATAGGGTCATGAGATATGAGCATATCTCACTTTAAAGTGATTCGAATTCTAACGTATCTCATGTAGACTCTTCTGGATTATCCCCATCTATTGCATACGTTTTCTTCTCATCTTTTTCTTGTTCTTGCGATCTTCGTAGTGCGTCTCTACCGTTCGAGAATCGCATGAACGTCAAGGGTGTCGAGAACGAGCTAGGGATCCCGGCGATTGGAATGGCATCGTCGCAAATTAGAGGCTACTCCCTTTGACCGAGCAATGCTGTATTACGGGATTCTGCGACATGATCAAGAGGGGTCTTGTAACCACAGCAGTGTTATAGATCGATCAATAATACCGCGATCGAAAACACGTTTCCGCAGGGTCAACCAGAGTCGATGGAATATTATGCCAGTAAGAATGATTTGTTATAAATTTGATTTAGCAATATGACTCGATGTAACTTGGACATGACGCATTCTCACCGAAATACGACTGAATAAAAAACTTATTAACTATATAACGTGTATATGTATTGTGTCGGGTTTTTCTCTATGGTTTGTTGAAAAGTAAACGTCCGCAATTATATCGGATATACGAATATGCTTTGGCGTATTGACCAAGGTTCGTGCAATTTACGAGAGGAACTACTTGTTCGCTTGGAAATTATGTCTATACGCTCGAAGCACAATGTAAAAGCAGATCAATTATGATCATAGTTAACGATTCATGGAAACGGTACGTGACAAACAAGGACGTGTTAGCGAATAAGTATGTGTGAATAGAAAAGAAATTCATTCGGAGCATAACGTGAAAAAAATTGTGTAATTTGAGAATAATAATGATCGATAATATTTCAGTAATAATAATCATCGCAATAATAATAATAATAATAATAATCGCGGTAGTAATAATAATAATAATAATAATAATAATAATAATAATAATAATAATAATAATAATAATAATAATAATAATAATAATAATAGTAGTAGTAGTAGTAGTAGTAGTAGTAGTAGTAGTAATGATA